AAAAAAAAAAAAAAAAAAAAGGCAGGGACCAATGTAGAATATAATCAAACAATGGATTGTGTGTAATACATATATTCTGGGGATTTCTAGCTAAATTACTACTTAACCAATTGCATTATGTTCACTGACATTGCTACAATGGGCGTCCTTATTAAGATTTCATAGTTACACATGCATTTGTGTCTGTAGAACACTGTACAATTTGTCACCTAAGCAGCCTTGAGTAGCCATCACCACCACAATCAAGATGCTTTACTGCATCATCACAGAGACCAGTTACATTTTGTTTTTTAGATTGACATTTTTTTTTATTTCACTTTTTCTAAAGACAGGATCTTACTGTATTGCCCAGGCTGGAGTCAGTAGTGAATGGGAGCTCACTACAGCCTCAAACTCCCAAGTTCAGGCAATTCTCCTGCCTCAGCCTCCCGAGTAGCTGGAGACATGGGTGTGCACTAACACAACGAGCTAACTTTTTTTTTTGTTTTAGGGATGGGGTCTTGCTATGTTGCCCAGGCTGGTCTCCCTTTCCTGACCTCAAGTAATCCCCCTGCCTCAACCTCCTAAAGTGCAGAGATTGTAGGCGTAAGCCCCCATGCCTAGCCTTGGCATTGTGTTTTATTGTAGTGCTGACTATATGGGGTTTCTTAGAAGTTGTGAACCTCTTAAGCTTCAGGAGCATACTCAAGCGTCCTCCCTACTTGGTCGGGGTATAGACCTGGCTGTCCATGGTTTTTAGCTGTGTCTAGTCCACTGCTATCCATGAGCTAGCGCATACTTGGCTTGGCCTCCCAGGAACTGCCTTCCTGGAGATGCACATTCACCATGATTGTTTTCCCCTTGTTATTTCTCCCAGGGTCCTCACAGCAGGCAGAGAAACTGCCAAAGCTGCTGCCTCCCAGACCCCTGAGTCCTATAGGTCTTTATGTATTTTCAGAAGACCTGGCCCTACTTTTCATATCCCAGCTGCTTGCATCTGACAGCTCGTCCTGGTTGGTCTTAGGACTCCTCTGATGATGGCCTGCACAAGGAAGAATCTCGAGGTGATCCAGGACCTTGTGGAACATGGTGCCAATCCACTCCTAAAGAACAAAGATGGCTGGAATAGTTTCCACATTGCCAGTCGGGAAGGTGACCCTCTGATCCTCCAGTATTTACTCACTGTTTGCCCAGATGCCTGGAAGACGGAGAGCAAAATTAGAAGAACCCCTCTGCACACCGCAGGTACAGCCTACATGTACAGGCACGCAGGCACGCAGGGACACGGGCGGCCTGCCTCACACCGCAGGGACGTGGGCGGCCTGCCTCACACACACCGCAGGGACAGCCTACACGTGCAGGCACGCAGGGACACGGGCGGCCTGCCTCATACACACCACAGGGACACGGGCGGCCTGCCTTACACACACCGCAGGGACAGCCTACACGTGCAGGCACGCAGGGACATGGGCAGCCTGCTTCACCCACACTGCCAGAACCTCATCATATGCAAGTCACTCCCAGCAAACAGAGAATTTTGGAAAATAGCAGGAAAAAGAGCATTTTGGGGCCTTTTGCCATACAGTTAATTTCTTTTACTTTTTCCTTTTTCGAGACAGACTCACTTTGTCACCCATGGTAGAGTCCCAAGAGAATCACCTAAACCCAGGACTTGGAGGTTGCTGTGAGCTGTGACGCCACAGCACTTTACTGAGGGCAATAAGTGAGACCCTGTCTCTACCAAAAAAAAAAAAAAGAATGAGGGTAGAGCAGAACCCAGAAGAAAGAAACATTTTATATGTGCACTACAAGCTCTAATTCTCCACTCTCTTCTAGCAATGCATGGTCATTTAGAGGCAGTAAAGATGCTTCTTAAGAGGTAAGCACAATACAGCAAATTGGGGGAAATATTTGATAATTATGTCAATTATTAACACATAATTATGATAATTGAGTTCATATAAATGCTATGTAAAGAGCTCAGACACACTGTTAAGAAAGACGCTAGGCTCGGCACCTGTGGCTCAAGTGGCTAAGGCGCCAGCCACATACACCTGAGCTGACAGGTTCGAATCCAGCCCGGGCCGCCAAACAATGATGGCTGCAACCAGAAAATAGCAGGGCATTGTGGCGGGCGCCTGTGGTCCCAGCTACTTGGGAGGCGGAGGCAGGAGACTCACTTGAGCCCAGGAGTTGAAGGTTGCTGTGAGCTGT